TTTAAAATATTGTACGTACACAGTTCATTTAACAATGTAGTGTAAATTTCTAGTCCTTGAAAGTCATTGTTATCAGTTATATAGGATAATAAGGAAATGTAGGTTAGTAATATTAGGTAATGTCTTCAAGGTCAAACAGATATATTTTAGATAGACAGGTCATCTTCAAACACTCAGAGATCTGCAGAATATGGCATGTAAGTGGTTTTAATAACACAGTTTCTTTTTTATGACAATGAGACATGTCTGCTCCTGGCAACACCAATCTACTTCATAGAAGATTATGGGCATTGAAGAAACTCCACATGGTGTTTACTTTCTTTGTGGCAAAAGTGAGCCACTGGACAACAAACAAAAAACACCCTTGCCTTGACTGTTGACAGTATTCTGTCCAAATTCTATAAGCAGGACACAAAAGAAAGGACTACTGAACTTTGCAAAGACAAAGTAGGACAGCCCTTCAGAATACCCTGCTTCACAGTAAAGTGTTTCAGAGACACTAGGGTGAAGGCGGATGCCCCAACATTGCAGAGGAGCCTGAGGTGACTGTCCAGGCAGGCAGCTGTTTTTGTCATTTCTCACATTTTTTGGAAGGTGCTCGCTTACACTTCCTTCTTACTCAGTTAATATTAATACCCTCTTGTGTCTCTTAGTGAGTTGACTACATAGCGTAGTTATAGCCTTCATGGTTTACCAGATTCAGAAAAGAAACTCACTAAAGACATGGAAAATATAAAAGGTTGAAGGATATTAAAAGATAATTTTACAATGCAGATTAGAATAGAAAGTAAATTTGGTTCAAGACTTTGAACTCACCAAGATAGATTAAATAATGGAATATTTCAATTAAATGAATGCACCACATACCCAAACTTATGGGACACAATGAAAGTAGTACTAAGAGGAAAGTTTAACTTACCAAGTGCCTTCATAATGAAATTGTAGAGATTTCATAATATGGACTTAACAGCTCATCCTAAAGCTCTAGAACAAAAAAACAAAAAGCAAATGCACCCAAGAGGAATATGCAGCAGAAAATAATCACACTGAGGGCTAAAGTCAATAAATAGGAACAAAGAGAACAATACAAAGAATCAATGAAACAAAGAGCTGGTTCTTTGAAAAATTAACAATACAGGCAAATCCTCATCCAATGTAACTAAAAGGCAGAGAGAATATCTAAAATAACAAAAATGAAAGGGGGAATAAGAACATATACCTAGAAAGTCTAAAGAATCATTAGGTCATTCTTCAAAAATGTACCTCACAAAATTGTGAAGTATAAAAGAATTGGACAAATTTCTTGGTAGATACCATTTACCAAAGTTAAACCAAGATCAGATAAATGATTTAAATAAACCTATAGCTCCTAAGGAAAAAGGAACAGTCATTAAAAGTCTCCCAACCAAAAAAAAAAAATCCCAGGTCCAGACAGACTTTCAATAAAGACCCAATACCAACACTCCCCAAATTATTCCACAAATTAGAAACAGAAGGAACATTTCCAAGTTCATTTTCTGAAGTTGCAGTCACCCTGATATCCAAACCACACCAAAACTCAAAAGTAAACAAAAAAAAAAAGAAAAATGAAAGGGAATTACAGACCAATTTCCTTTATGATTCTAGATGCAAAAATATTCAATAAAATATTCACAAAGTGAATCCAAAACACATCAAAAAGTTCATCCACCCATTAGATGTTTAAAAACAACCTTTGACTAAACCAAACACCCCTTCATCATAAAAGTCTTAGAGAGATCATGGATACAAGAGACATATCTAAGCACAATAAAGGTAACATTCAGCAAGCCTATAGTCCACATCAAATTAAATGGGGAGAAACGCAAATCAATTCCACTAAAATCAGGAACAAGTCAAGGTTTTCCACTCTTTCCATAACTATTAAATATAGTATGTGAAGGTCTATCCTGGAGCAGTTTGATAACTAGAGAAAATCAAGGCTATATAAGCAGGAAAGGAAGAAGTCAATGTATCATTATTCACAGTTTATATGACAGTATACATAAGTGACCTGACCAATTCTACCAAGGAACTCCTACAGCTGATAAACACCTTCAGGGAAGGGTCTAGATACAAGATTAACTAAACAAACAAAAACAAAAAACAGTATCCGTCCCATATTCAAATAATAAGAAATCAGAGAAGCACATCCTTCACAGTAGCCCAAACTAATATAAAATATGTTGATATAACTCTACCAAGCAAGTGAAAGACCTGTATCACAGGAACTACTTCCTACTTTAACACACACACACACACACACACACACACACACACACACACACACACACTAACAAACAATGAAGAGGATGGGTCCTGAGCTACTAACAAAGGAAGGAGGGAGTATATGGGAGTACTTAGAGAAAGAATATGGGAAAGGAAAATGGTATAATTATATTTTAATCTCAAATATTAAAGAAAAATATAGCTTTAAAAATAACCAATGTACAAATGAGTTACCTAAGAAGGTTTGTCCATATTTAAAAGAAAAAGTTAAAGTTCAATGTCCTTAGCAACAAGGGAAATTCAGAGTCTCTCCACCAGAGTCAGCGTACCAGGAAATAAAAACTCATGAAATTGCTAGTCTGAGGAAAGAGTCATAGTCTACTACCAATGGGGATATGGACCACTACAGACACTGGGAATTCTGTGAGCAGGTTTATCAAGAAACAAAATTATAGCTGAAATGCAGCTATACCTCTGCTGAATATGACATGAGAGGCTAAGTCAACACACCTGAGTCATCCATATACCTGTGTTCACTGCTTCACCATAGACAACAGCTAAGACACTTGACATCCACCAGATGATGAATGAATAAAGGAAACACAATGTGTTTATTCAATATACTTTCTTTCAGACATAAAGAAAAATGACATATGATATTTGTAGGCAAAACATGGAATTAGACATTATGAAGTTCAGAAAATGAAACTAAGGTATTAAAGACAAAGAGCATGGGTATTATGAGGTGTTGGATCTGGATTTAAACATGTGTGGCCAGTGACATAGGTGGGTCATTAAATGAGAATCAGGACACTGAAACAGAAGAAATGTAAGTTTAGGAGACCAAGAACAGGATTTGTTGATGGTGAATAATTCATGCTTAGGCCAGAAAAATAAGGATAGGTTATTAAATACCCTTCAGTAGGACCGAGGGCTGGGCAGTAGTTGGAGTCCAGCCTATTGTGCAAAATATCATGTGCCAAGGTATAGGGGCTGATTTCCATTTTGGAGGATACATTTGTGTCTTGGTTTTCTGGCATTTACTGGTACCATGAGGAAAGCAGGGTGGAATGCCTCATGTACAGTTTTGGGAAGTCAGCATAACAGCTGTTCATTTACTCCAGTTATATGGTATACATATATAATACATAAGGAACATCTATTGTATATATAGGAGGGCAATCCCGGTTGATAACCTTCAATCACAGAGAGGAACTGTAAAAGTTGTGTTGCTGTTGCTTACTGGGGCTGTTTGAATGTGAACTATATCCCACAGCCTCACATGTTTTTGTTTAGATGGTAATGAGACAGGAAAATACTGAAAAGGAGCAGGGTGGGGCGAGAATTCCAGACACTAATATAGGAAATGCAGCAGAAAATACATGACTGGACCTAGCCTGTCTTCTAATACCCTACAAACATTGGCTATTTCTCATTTAATAAATGCTCTGCCTTCTTATAACTATCCATGAGTGTTTGCAAGGTTCACTGTTGAGACTTGAGACCCTGGAAATGAGATTGTCTCATTTACAGACTCAAATACATGCCTGTAACAATGGGAGAGTCAGTGTGAGTTGGCCTTGGAACCTTTAGGGTGCTCTGGAAAACTGCTTCCTAGAGAAATGAGTCTCCAGGAACAGTGAACAGAAGGCAATGCATTTAAATTCCAAAGTGCCACGCTTTCCCCAAAGGTGTCTGAAAACTGGGTTGTATAATTTGTGAACAACTGGGTCTATATGCTTGAAAATCACAAAATTTGGTGAGTAATGGATTCTGAGAGACACTGAGGTGAGGCACATTTTCTTATGTCAGAGCTTCTGCAATCAGGCTCTGAGAGGCCTCTCATACACTGTGAGGGTGAAGTCTAACTTGCAGTAAAGTTCATAAGAGGTGGTGAGACCAGAGTTATGGGACACCCATCAAAGAAAGAGATTCTATCAGTTCCTCAGGGATCATATCTGAGGCATTCAGTTTTCTGTGTCAGCCATGGAATTTAAAATATGCTGCTTTTCCTGGTTGGTTATTGTTTTGCTTTGACCTTGTTATTCCTTGCTATGTCCCCATAGTGTCATTTTGCATATGAAAATTTAACTCTGCTCATTTGTCTGTTTTTAGTCTCTAATGTTCTGTTTTTGTTTTAATTTCACAAATAGTCACAGTTATTGGACTTACTTAGGTTGGTGGAAAAAAAAATGATTTTTGAAATTTGAACCCTCCTGAAACTATGATGATTTCCGAGGTTAAACTGAATGCAATTGAAGCTAGAGACAGCCATGTATGTTTTTGCATGAGTGGGCTCCTTTGGGTTCTGATGGTGTCACCTGAGAATTGTCTACACTTCTGTGACCCTAAACCTCATCCCTTAGAGGCCTCTAAGTGGTCACAGCACAGCTCGTACAGGTCACTGATATGTTCATATAGAATGAGATTCATGGCACAGGTCAGGGCAGTGGACAGAAGGTGCCATCTCTGCACTGAATGCTTTCCAGTAACCAATTATACTTGCTCACCTCATGTATTTTAAGAAGTTGGAATCCCAGAAAATTCCTTGTCAACTTTCAGATCATTGCAGGAAATGGGCACCTGAATGCCTGGAAACAGCTGAACCAGGGTTGGGAACCTGACTCTATAATAAGATAATCAGACACTCCTTCTCCTAGAACGCCATCCTACAGCCAGGTATACCCTCAAATAGGAGGTTTTAATGACATTAAATCTTACTTTAACAAAAACAGAAAGAAAGAAAGATTTAATTTTAAGACACTGCAGTAAAAAATTGTAGTGTTTTATTAGTGAGATTATGACTGGTAGTCCACACCACAGTGATGACATTAAACGAATTCACCACTTTACTCCAAATGCGATGGCGAGGACCCCTCCTGGTCCTTCTTTCCTGCAGTCCATTCTCCCCAGCAGCATGCAGCGCACATCTTGGGCAGAAACTGCTGAGACAAAGAAAGAGTGATTGCTTTACTCCTAGGCTGTCTTACTGTTCCTAATCATGCACCTCCTGTTATTCTGGCTGCAAGAAAAGCACATGCCACATTGATTAGAAAGACTGCAGCACAGTGACTTTGTCACAGTACCTTCCCTGGGGCCTTTTTCCTTCATGGTCACCATGTTAATGCCCAACTACAGTACCCCAGTCAAGGAGAAAAATTTGTCATCCACAACCCAATATAAACTCTCTCCACACTTCATAGAGCAGAACCCTTAATCAAACAGTGAACTGCCAGTATTCCAGATGATGTCAGTGAGTACACGAGTTCCTTCTTGGCTTCCCATGGGCAGGAAAATATAGGGATGAGATATTGTCATACCTAATCCATCACTGGAGTCACTTAGCTGTTCTCTTCTACATTCTCAGATTTAGGTGAATCTTCTGGAATCTCTACCAATCCACAGCAATTTTCCCTGAATTCTTCATCTGTCTTCATAGAAAAGAAAAGAAAATATTAAAAACCAGGAGACTAACTGTGAAGATCTTAAGTGAAGTAACTCAGAATTATAAATTCATATCCCACTCACAAGATCACTAAATTGATTCAGGCTCAGAGAGTAGCTGGTCTTGCCCTGCTCATATTCCAAATTGTGCTTCTCAATTTTTTTCTTCTTTTCCTCCCACAGTGCTCTTCTGTGTCCTTCTTCATTCTGGAAATGAATACAACAGACAATATTTTCATCATATTAACTTCCCACATGTAAAGAACAGGCATGGAGAGGGATCTCAGGACACTATAGCCAGGTATTCTCCAAACCCAGAGCATCAGTAAGGCTGGCCACCCTGAGTTCATAGTGCATGTCTAAGCAAGTCCTCTGTGACCACATTTATGGGTACAGACTCCTAAGCGCAACAGCAATCCTTCCTGAAATCCCTCTGGACAGTGCCATGTTACCAACCTGGCTGTAGGATTTTCCAAATTTCATCTTCCATTCCTGCCATTCAGCATCCAAACTGGGATCACGTGATGGAGCAACTGAGGCCATTCTAAAGGAGTAAGACTGTATCAAACAACTAGGGAACAAGGAATCGTCCAATACCAGTCATATTAGTCATACACATGAGGGTAAAGTATTTATGTATACGTACACATGCGTGTAGCAACAACTAGTAAAAAAAATTCAGAATTTTTCTTTTTTTGAAGCTTTTTAAATGCACATTACACATGCATGCATACAGACATACATTTGTGCACACAAATACACATAATACAATAAATAGAGTATTTATTTAACCTGATGCCAGCTTGTTTAAGTTGGCAATGTGGCTAATTGCCAGTACATTACCACTAGGAATGGGCAACACAAATCCTCCTCAATTAATGTGAAGCTCCCCATGGCAGATAACACACAGACAGAAGAAAAGGGGAAGCATGGGCACAGCCCACAGTGACCACTGTCTAATGTTAGTGTATGTATGAAGACTATGTCAGTTTGTGTTATGTAAATCTTCTGTGTCACAGGCTGTGGGTGAAGCCTCAGCACTGCTTTCTGCAATTCCACCTGCTTCTCTAAAAACCTGATGTGTTTCCTTGAGAGAGAAACAGCAGTTCAGTCTAGCTCAGCTTTACTCAACCTGAGTTTCTTTTCTCCCTACAAACAAACCCTCACTTCAAAGCAAGACACATAATGAACAATTTTTTAATGGATGCCAGAATTTAAAAAGAATCAGGAAGGGCATCTCGGAGAGTATGAAGCAGGAAAGGTGGAGGGGAGCAATGATGTAATTCTATTATTATCTTAAAACAACAAAAACAAAACCAAAGAAACAAAGAGAAAAGAAAAGATAAGTCCCAGGTAACCGGAGCAAGTCTGTGTAACAGAGTCTGTGTACCTTGCTTGTCCCTGGTCTCCTGGAGTGCAGAAGCTTCTGTTCAAAGGTGGAAACCAGGGCTGTGCTGTCCATGGCCTCCTAAGAGCTACTTATAGAGGCATCTAGTGATGGAACAATGGCTAGCCCTCCCTGAAGCCTCAGCTTGCCCAATAGAATAGAGTCATAAGCTAGTTTGACCAATGAGTCAGGCACTGCAGGCAGGAAAACATGACACTGGAGACTAGCCAGACCCACACCCAAGCTGACTCGTAAAGGCTGTGGCTTTTCTAAGAATCCTAAGATACGCAGATGTTGCATAATTGACAGTCTTGAGAAATAACAGACTTGTGGGAAGAAGAACCCACAGGGGAGAGTTAGTGTATGCCACAGTCCTACCTCAGATTGCACAATACTATGGAGAACACATGCTAGCCTAAGAACTGTGAAGGCGCTGCTGATAATACATTTGAAGCATCAAGCAACGTGTATCTGCCTTGCCTGAAACAGAGCTTATGACAGTCAGGAGCATCTACAGAGAGGATGAAATAACCAGGAGGAAACAGTGGTGTCACTCCGACTAGACCATCAATGCTTCAGGAACGTCTTCAGACTGGATGAAATAATCAGAAACACAGATGTTAGAGATACTTGTCATCCAACCCGACCATCAGTTTCACAGCCTAGAGTTTTACAGCTTTAGAAATAGTATTGGAGTTACTCAAACAAAATAAAGAGAGAGAGAGGAGGAGGTGGAGGAGAGAGAGAGAAGAGAGAGAGAGAGAGAGAGAGAGAGAGAGAGAGGAAGGAAGAAAGAGAGAAAGAACAAGACACCTCATGTATGCAAAAATGTGGACTACAGGGTTTCACTGCACACAGAAATTTGCTGTGTGGTGTTGATGGATGTTTCTGTCCAGCCATGTCCCACTATCCTTCAACCCAGAGGCTTATATTAATCATAAATCGTTTGGCCAATTGCTCAGGTTTGTTACTGGTTAGCTCTCTCTTAATTATTAATCCATTTCTATCAATCTATTCTATTAATCCTTGTATCTCCACATGGTCTTTGCTTACTAGAGAATGTCCTGGCATTATATCTCCCTTCTTTTGAGATCCACTTTCTGTGTTTCCCTTCCTAGACCTCTCCTAGTCTGGTAGGCCTGCCTTTACTTCCTGCCTGGCTACATCCTGTCTGTGCATTGGCTGAAATAACTTTATTCATCAACCAGTAAGAGAATGTGTATTCACAGCATGCTAAAGGATATGGCCCATCAGTTGGCCTTCACCATTACTCTGACTGGGCATATGATTACAGAGCAGATGTAGCAAAAATCAAAAAAAAAAAAAAGGATTCAGGTGTGACTGAAAAATACAGAGAATGCAAATTACTTCAGATGAAGAAATCTGGCTTGTTTATATTTTAATATATCACATGAAAAGTTTAAAAGAAGTAGATTCATAACTATTTAATTTTGAGTTTTCCAAAGTTTTATTGTGCACTTGTCAGACAGATAATTGTTATTAAGGGTGTGTGTGTGTGTGTGTGTGTGTGTGTGTGTGTGTGTGTTACAGGCAGATTGCATAGATAGAGCCCTATCTAATGTGATGCCTTCCCCTCAGTCATGGTGGATTGGCAGTGGCCATGTCAGAGGCCCAGAAGATGGCAATTGACTTCAGGGGATCAGCCTACCAGGGACAAAACTCTGATGGGTGAATCTCAGATGGGCACAGCCCTGAGAGCCTCAGCACAAGAATATCTCTTGCTACTGTTGTGTCTTTGCATGTTGGTTGCTGCCACCTTTCTCTGGTATCTGGCATGGTGTGCATGGGTGTGGGGAGATCTCCCATTGCCTGTGATATAGTGTGTTTATCTCATGGAAATATCCCATTATACTGGACATTTTTACCTGTGGATTATGAAGAAGATGATTTCCTCCTGAGCTGTACTGTTCAATTGAAGCAGTGATTTTATATAATAGTATTAGTTTAAATAGGATTTTGGTTGAAGGTCTTTCATAAATATAGTAAGGAATTATGTTAGCAATCACTTTGGTGGAAAACATAATATACGTAAAATAAGATAAAGTGTTGCCATTGCCTCTGATAAAGCAGAGGCTGCAGAGGATAAAAAGTAAAGCCAGGAAGTGTTACACAGCTAGAACACATGGTTTACTATTGAGGAGCCATAGAGACTGTGACTGAGGTTAATGATTAAGAAAAACAGTTGGTTTAATAGCTGAGAAATACTCCATTGTGTAAATGTACCACACTTTCTTAATCCATTAATTGGTGGAGGGGCTTCTAGGATGTTTTCAGTTTCTGGTTATTTGGAATAATTCTGCTATGAACATAGTTGTTCCCTTGTTTTATAATTGAGCATCATTTGGATATATGGCCAAGAGTGCCATCTTGAGATAGATTGATTCTCAATTTTCTGAGAAACCACCAAACTGATTTCCAATGTTGCTCTACAGTTGGCGTTCCCACCAGGAGTGGTAGGAGTATTCTACTTACCACACATCTGGTCCAGCACAAGCTGACATCAGCAATTTTTATCTTAGATGTTCTGGAAGGTATAAGATGGTATCTCAGAGTCATTTTGTTTTGCATTTCTCTGATGACTAAGAATGATGAGCTGTTCCCTTCAAGGCTTTCAATGATTTGAGATTCTTCTGTTGAGAATTCCCTATTAAGAATTTCCCTATAAAGTACCCTGTATTTTAAAATTTGAATTATTTGGTATTTTGATTATAATTTGGTGAGTTCTTTATATATTTTGCAGATCAGCCCTCTGTGAGATGTGGGAATGGTGAAGATCTTTTTCCATTCTGTAGGCTTCTGTTTTGTTTTAATGATCATGACCTTTGCCTTACAGAAGCTTTTCAGTTTCAGAAGGTCCCATTTATTAATTGTTTCTCTAAGTGTATTTGCAACTGGTGTTATATTGAGGAAGTAGTCTCCTCTGCCAATGAGTTCAAAGCTACTTCCAATTTCTCTTCTATCAGGTTCATTGTTACTGGATTTATGCTGAGTTCTTTGATGACAATAGATGTGGATCTATTTGCATTCTTCTGCATGTCAACATCCAGTTTTGCCAGCACCATTTGTTAAAGACACTTTCTTTTTTTCCAATGTATAATTTTGGCTTCTTCATCAAAAACAAGATGTTCATAAATGTGTGGATTTATGTCTGTGTCTTCAAATCAATTCCATGAGCCATGTGTCTGTTTTCATGCCAATACAATCTTTATTTACAATGACCTCATGAAATTTGCAGGCAAATGGATGGAACTAGAAAAAAATCATTTTGATTGAGGTAATCCAGAAGCTGAAAGACAAACATGGTATGTATTCATTCATAAATATATTAGGAATAAAGTATAGGGTAAGTGACCTACAAACCACAACTCCAGAGAGGCTAGGTGACAAGGAGTGCTGAAATAAGATGCACTGGAAGGGGACAGAGAGGAGATTTCATGGTTAACCTGGGGGTGGGGGAGGTGGAATGGAGGGATGGAAGCTTGAGGAACAGGTTGGACTGGTTGGGTGTGGTAGGTTGGTTATTGTACTACATGGGGGAAGAGCAATGAAAAAGATGTCTTGATGAGGGGGCCATTTGGGGGTTAGTGATAAGCCTGCCACCATATAAACACCCTGGAATCCACAAGGACAACCCCAGCTAAGACTCCTAGCAATAGTAGAGAGGGTACCTGAACTAGCCATCTACCGTAATCAGTTTATTGACTATTCTAATTGTCAGTGGAGATAATGTATCCAGTTATGGATGGAAGCAGATGCAGAGATAAACAGCCAACCACTGGGCAACCCTCCAGGAGTCTTGCTGAATGAAGAAAGAGAGGAGGGATTGTGTAAACCAGGGGCATCCTAATGGAGGATCACCAGAGACAGCTGACCTGAGCTTGTGAGAGCATATGGATTCTGAACCAAGAGCTAGGCATCCTGCCTGGGACTAACCTAGACCCTCTGCACGTGTGTGACAGTTGTGTGTCTTGTTCTCTTTGTAGGACTCCTAGCAATGAGCTCAGGACCTGTACCTGAGGCTTAGCTGTGCCATGCTTTGTTCAAGCCCCTAGGGAGCCTGCCCCATTCTGAGTGGAGACAGAGGGGGAATGGAAGGGGTGTGACTAGATGGTAAGCCCCTGGGGGGCTTGGAGGAGAGCCAAGAGGGGACACTGTGGTTGGTTAGTAAAATAAATGAAATAAAATGTTATTTAAATATAAAACAACAACAAAAACAACAGTCCCAGGAGCCCAGTTGGCTGGAATTCTTTTAATCTTAATGCTGGGAGATGTGTTCACAGATTTCAGAATGCATCATAGCTAAAACAAAGCCTAAGAATGACCTCAGGTTAGATTAAGATATTTTGATTATAGCTTTGAGGTTATGTGTCAAAAAACAAAGCAGCACAATTATTATTAGCTGATATATTTTCCTTGGGAATACTGTGGTGAACAAAGGTGATTATTAGTTCCTTATACACATTTCTGCCTTTAATCTCCTAATATGAATAAAACTATTGGTGGGTGGGTATACAGACTAAATATTTAAAGTAGAGCTGCCTGATTGATTTTCTTTTATAAAAGTTAACGTTTTGATTCTTTGTAAGATTGCCTTTCAAGATAATTAATAAAGTGGTTGGTTCTTCCTTTGCAACAGCAAAACAACGCCTGCCAGTAAAAGAACTGACTGAGAAAAATATCTTGGTAACACTCTGTTAGTCCATAACAAGTTACTTGACTATGAATGTATGTGGATTCTTGGGATCACCTGCAACATGTAAAATGTTTAATCATGTAATGGATTTGGAAAACATGGTGGTTTCTTACTTTTATTAATTGTAATCACTCACTTGAAAAATAGAAGATAACCACGTTGCAATTTTTATATTGCTTGAAATATTTTGCTGGGGTATATAAGATGTAAGGGAAAATAGACTTAGTAAGAAAACATCACAAGACTTAAAAGGAAAACATGAGGAGAGACGGAACTGACAGTTCTGGATAAAGATAAAGAGAAAGTATAGAGAAAACAGAATGAAGAAGAGAAAGAAGGAAACCATGAGGAGAGCATGTTGATGTCTTTCCCCTACTCCCTCAGATAAATAAGTTACAGCACATCATCTCTGAATTCCATTAGAGCTAAGTGTTGC